ACTTAATTAATTGAATTGGTAGTTGCTTATTACATCCTTATCGAGAGTCGATGAAAAGTCTAGAGCCTTGAGGAGATTGGGGTTATTATACGAATAAGTTTAGCAAAATCTATTTGTTCAATGAATTTCTGCTAGATAGGATGTTTAACACAGATAATGTACTACGTGATTGTTGCTGGATTTGCTGCCGTATTATTTTCGTATTCTGTTATTACCAGACTAGATGTTCGATAAGGTAAAACAGATTGCATATTAATTGGTCCTTGGACTTTTGTGCATGGGATGTGTGGTCGTTGTTGACATGCTTCTTGTAAACGTAATATAAATCTTGCTATTTGTTTTACGTATGCAAGTTAAGGATAATTTTCTGTGATAATGAATTATCAAGTGTATATCGGTTTAATACTCTTTAAGGAGCCCGTACTTCTTTTTTCCTCTAACTGCTATTTATGCAAAGGGTGCCTACATACTATCAATAAATATTGTAGCATATTCCCTCTAATATGATGAAAAAAGAAGGCCCTAAATAGTGTATTTAGCCTCGATAGCAAAAAGGACAACCTCAATATCATTTCTCGATTTCAATTGTCTCCTTCTATTTGATCGAAACTTTTTCGTTAGTTTACTGTCTGCACACTTAATGTTCAAATCATATCATATTCTGCTGAGCTCATTTTATCTGTAGAAACACTTCTGTTTTGAAACTTTAATTCTCAGTTACCTTTTTTTGTCCATTTTAGGTCATAACTAATCTCACTCTACACTAAATTCTAAACAGGAGAATATATATAAAGATTGAAAAGGCCCACTATTCATGGAATTGTTGTAGAAGTTTATATAATCTATCAACATACTTGCAATATTTAATGCGCTCCTTTTGAATATCATGTTTATCTTTAAACATAACTTGATTGTTGCACTTACAATATGAGTACATAGCTATTTCACTTTGTTTTAGACAAGCATCTGAATTGTACTCGCTGATTCTATTCCAACTAAAAGGATAAAGTGAAAAAACGAGGAAAAAAGGATGAAATTTGAATTGAGGTTGCATTTTTTTTTCCAATCTTATGTTCTTAGTGATTTTTCTCCCCTTGTATTGCTCAGGTATACCAGCAATCCATTGCAGCTGTATGTGTCCAGGATTGGCCAAGAGAGAGAATGCTTGTACAAATATTAGATGATTCTGATGATGCAGATGTTCAAAATCTTATTAAAGCAGAAGTGCATAAATGGCAGCAGAGAGGTGTGCACATCATTTATCGACATCGTCTTATTCGCACAGGCTATAAAGCAGGGAACCTTAAATCTGCAATGAATTGTGAATACGTGAAAAATTATGAGTTTGTAGCCATCTTTGATGCGGATTTCCAGCCAGCGCCAGATTTTCTGAAGAGCACCGTCCCTTACTTTAAGGTAATCAGTCGTTGAAGTGATCTAAGAAATGGATATATAAATAAATAGTTTTTTTATATTGATACGTATTTCTTGTATGACCATTTCTAACATAGTTCTGGTAAAAAAAATCATTAGTAGGCTGAAGAAAAATAATGTTGAGTGGTTACTAATTAGCTCGTGTTTTTTGAAGGGAAAAGACGACCTTGCACTAGTGCAAACCAGGTGGGCTTTCGTCAACAAGGAAGAAAATCTGCTTACACGATTGCAGAACATAAATCTGGCTTTCCATTTTGAGGTCGAACAACAAGTCAATGGGTGGTTCATCAACTTTTTTGG